ATTACCTGGCTGTCTATGAAGACAGTGTACAAGGAGACATGGATGCTGCTCTGCAGGGTGCTTGATTTAAGCGAGTTTACTGTGGTGACTGTGACAAGGGACACTGATGAGGGAGGATCAGGGGCACTGGTGGTCTGGCAGAATTAAAACTCAAATGCAGTTGTCAGGTGTTACAACATGCTTTTTAGATTTTAGATAAGATTTAAAACTAGAAAAATGAAATAGAAAAAAAAATCTCACAAGAAAGGACACTTATCTAGTCAGAGGGCAAAAGGGCAGGTGCATGAGCCCTTTCTGGAGTCTGTCTGTGCATGTACCTGAACCATTATAATGAAATAATATCTAAGAAAAAATAATGACAAAATTGATCATAAACCCCTCTCATAAATAACTTTCTAATTACTGATACAGCTGCATCATTAAGTGTTATGAATAGAATGCCCATTATTTATTCTTTCATGTATATACTGAAGATATAGTATTTTGATGCCAATGTGACAGCTGTGCTCTCTGTATCTGTTGATTATTATTATGTGATGCAGTATTAGTTATTTGCAGTGTGTTGTCTGTTCAAGTACCCGTTGTAAACAATCTATTTTACTTTTTTCTGCCCTAATAAGGGCCCTCGCTGTGAGGTTAAAAGCAGTCTGTCTTAATGAAGCAGGGGACCTCAAAGTTTTGATAAATGAGTACCAATTTAGGGAGCCAGCATATGACTGAGGGCAGCACAGGAAAATACAGTTACGCATGGCCCACTAAAACTACCATGCAACCAGTAGCTCTCTGCTAGTTGTCATTTCTTGCCTGATAGACTGTTTTCTTTTCTGAAGTAATAGCTACTTGAGAATCCTCATAACAGGTTATGGCCTTGGTGTGACCAACCAAAGATTTTTCTTTCTTGGAATGATTTGTTTGATACAGGGGCTGGGAGCGGTAAATGTGTCAAGTGTTTTTCATTCAAATGGGTGATTGCATTTCCAGTAGTTGAGAAATGAAGTTAGTGCAAATCCAACCACTAGATGTCAGTGTCACTTCATGATCATATCACACACTACTGGTGTAGGAAGTGCAGCACATGTGCAATATGGGACCACTGACAAGACATACAAAGATATATTTTACTGGAAGCTCTTTGCAAGTAATCATCCAAAATGATGATGATTTTATAGCATGGAATAAATGTTACCCTTAAGTGAAATCCTGAATCTTAAAAATGCCATTTTTTAGTAACTGAGAAGAAAAATCATCCCTGTGAAACGTGTTTGTTTGAAGACATTATTTTCTTGTCTAATGTTGGAATTAAAAGATAAAATAAATCTGTAACTGGCTCAGTTTTTTTTAAACTGATTTTAGCGACAATAAAAAAATGAATGAAAATAAAAACAAATAACTTTGTGTTGAGCCCTGTGACCATATGTATGTTATGTAAAACACAAATGTATTGTCATGAATGTAACTAACAATGGGTACAATCTTGTCATTGTCCTTTGCACGCATTTTGCCTTTAGTGGCATGTCCATAAACTGCAGTGACTTTTTATAATATTCTCGCTCTTTCCTACTTAGCACCCAAAATAATGGTGACTTTGTAACAAAAAATAAATGTTAGTGTTCAGTGAGATGGTGACCTCATGATAGTATGTACAACATGTTTTTGTTTAAAGACATTATTTCCTTGTGTAACGTTGAACGTTAAAAGAGAAAAACAAATCTGTAACTGGCTCAGTTTTGTGTCCTGGCATGATATTAGTCTTCTGGAGCGTCCTGCCCTGTGGAGCGGAGGTCAGCTGATGTTAGCTTGGAGCACAGTCAGTGCTATTTATGGACATGAATGTTACTAAAAATGGTACAATCATGTCATTGTCCTTTGCTCTCATTTTGACCTCAATATCATGTGGATAAAACTCAAGTGACTTTTATAATAAGTACCTTGTTAGAGAACATCAGTTTACTGCTTATACAAGTGTTTGAATTACATTTTAATAGTAATTAGACTGTTCATCAGACTAAGCTAAACTGGCTAAAACTGGTAGAGCCCCAATGATCTTTCCAAATTATTCATTTCCAAACAGTCCCGTTGCAACTATATCTTCAGAGGAAAGTAGTTCCGGTGAGAGTTGCTCACAGTGAGGTTTGTGGTTAGTCTTTCTGGAAAGGAATCTTGCTGTGAGCATTACAAATTCTGTTCAGTTCACTTCCACTGAACTGGGATGATAAAACATCATTTGATCTTGTAAAACCACAGCCAACAAAATCAAAACTCATGAACCATCTCTTCCAGAAAACAGCCACACTAAAGACAAACTAAATGCTTTCCTGGCAAGTGACCTCTTGTGGTTGATTGAGTAACAAATGTAATCTCCGAGAAGCAAAGCCAGAAGTGGAGTGACAGTGTGACAGCTTTTTAAAGCATCTTAAAGGGGATTTCAGAAGGGATGGTTGGGCTTTTAAAGTATGCGACTTTAACACTGGAGACTGTGAGTAACAGCTTGTCTTTATCTTTTATTTTAGCACACAAAGGCTGCCTTTCCCTATGTCAGGAGGGGCTGCTGGGAATTTGGCTAACAAATAATGTGGACTTTTTTTTTAAAAAAAACAAAAATTAAAAAAAAACCCTTAACCACACTCTATTGTTAAAATTAGCCAAGCATAGCATAGCCAAGCTAACTTTAAACATACCCTTATCTTAGTAAGTAACCCTTTGAAACACCAAAGTCACAACAGACTACAGAGTCTGGCTTTTAAGAGAGCACTGATGAGTTTCAAACGATTATGTATATGTATTCAACTAACCTTAACCATATGTAGTTTCTCTGGGAATGGGTTGGCAATCACGTTGGTTTTTACTGCAAAAGCAGCCACACACAGTCTGAAAAGCCTTTTGTGAGGGTCCAAACTGGCCAACACTAGTTAGCAGTTGTAATATGTGATTGTAATTGAATGAAAATCTTGTCTGCTGCTGTCTAACAGTTGGTCAAGCTGTCCACAATGTGAAATGCAACACTTCCCAATGCACATGGGCTCAAAATTACATAACGCTTTGGTGTGGTAACACATGCAACAGACTCAAACCTTTCAAACCATAGAGGTCAGTGCAAACTGCTGTCCGGTGTGCAAGATTTAGAATTGAGTTGGCCATATTCACTAAACCTCCTCCTTGGGAATATTAACAGAAATGAAGTTAAAGCTGCATTAATACATCTGTAGCAACTAGGGGGCAAAGGCCTGTAATAGAAATACTTTGATCAAGTTAACTAATACACAGCCAACACTTATCCAACAGGTAGCCACTTTCACATTCACTGGATTTAAGGCAACATTTGGATTCATGTTTCTCTCTGCTTGATGAATGGAAGTTTACTTTTCACTCTCCATTAAGGTCTGGTTTGCTCCTCTCCACTCTTTAGCAACTATATGTTCCACTATGGTGGACATAAAAATTGCAGGACTGTGACTCCAGAATCCCAAAGTCCAGACTCCTGTCTGTGGTTAGGTTTAGGCAATGAAAGCACTTTCATTATGGTTAGGAAAAGATTGTGATTCCAGTTAACTGCTGATAAAAAGGATGATAATAATAAAAAATACATAAATAAAATAAAATGATGCTGTAGTTACTACAAGTGGATAGTATATTGCAAGATTACCTATTTTGGCAGGAAAATAAATGACATACATTGTCAGTAAACTTATTGCTGATATGTTCACCATCAACAGTTTTGCAACTTGCCTGATACGTTAAGTAACATTTCTTCATCATGTTATGTTTCATTCAAAAATGTATTTGCTGCTTTAAGTTATGTATAGACAGGGCATGCACAATGTGCAGCCAACCATTTCAAGTGCACTTCAAGTTTTACCCTCTCTCCTAAGCAAGGGGTTTAGATTATTGTGAAAATGTAGGATTTATTTAAAACTTGAAGGCAAAAATATTTATTTCCATCCAGTATGTCCTGTATGTCCTGTATGTTTATATTGTGCAAGGGGAAAAATCTTCAGTCTTGTAAGCTAAATATATACCTCTTGGATGTCCCCTGCATCATTGGTCACAATATGTAAACACTAAAACAGTAGCAGCAGTATTACAGATGACCATTGTTATGCTTAGATCCAGATAAAATGTCAAAGGGTTACTATGGAGAGAGAGACAACGTCATGAGATGTTCATATGCATCAGGCCTGTGGACCAGCTGTTGTCCACCTGACACTGGCTCCACTCTACACTGATGACATCTGAATACACAAAGTACACATTCAGCCACATTTTGTTCTCTGCTAAAGCAATCAATAGTTAGAATTTTAATGAGAACAAATTAGATAACAAGCATTATCACTGCGATCAATATCATTATTACCTAATCAGAGGGATTTGTGGGGTTTTGTATTATCCCTCTGTTGCAGACAGCAGTGGTCGTGCTCCAGCCAGGTCATTTATTACCTAAAGTCAATGGCTAGCACAAACAGTTGCTAAGGTAATCATAAAGTTTTATTACCCTTCTTATTACGTTAATGCTGTCACATAATCTCTCTGTGCTTCCTGTTTGCAAGACGGCTCTTTCTCATTGACGTGATATGGGACAAAAGCTCAGTGCTGGCGGATGCGGTCATTGTCTGAGGTCTTTATAACACAGAGCAGAGCGGTTTCCTTGGTGAATAACAGTTCTATGCAACACCGGCTGCAGAATGCTTCATGATGCAGAGCAAATATATCATTGTCAGTTTTGTATCATGTAATGATTTCAATGGATGACCAAACATGCAGTCTCTGGGCATGTGCACAACTACTGCTGACCATATCTTTGCATTACATGTTTCATCTAAGTCACTGGGCTCAGTATGTGAGAAAATTAAAATACACAAGGTGGAGGCTTAAAGTATCATAATAATGGTGAAATATTTCTTTGTTAGTGCTATTGTATGGTACAGAGAACATGTGCAGCAACTCATCTTGTATCCCAAAGATAAAAAAAAATGTAAACCATGATTTTGTTCAATAAAGAGGCATTTTACCATTTCATTTTGTCACTTTATTTTTCATATAATTTAGTTTAATAACTGTTATGTAAAAAAGACAACAATTATATAAATAGAATATAAATTAAATTGCACATTTTTTCGTCTGCATTTGGTAAAAATGCACCAAATATCTTACAGGCAAATAAATACAAATAAATACAAAATCATAAAGTACCTTTCATGCCTGTTTACAGTGTAAAACTTTGACAAAGAGATATTTCATATCACAACCAAAAAATGTTTGCCTAATGGCAAAGAAAAGTGCTTTCCTCCCTTCTCCTGTTTGATTGTCACTCAGTCTCTTATACTTTCACATGTCCAAATGTCCTCTGTGTTCACACCACAGTTCGTTTAAGGCATCAACCTTAAACTTTCCCTCTATTTTCCATTTCTCTTCAATCTTCAGTGTCTACTGTACAGAGCACGCTTATCCATCGCTGCTCTCGAGACGATCTCTGTGTCCGCACCTGCGTCCAGCTTCAAGATGCAGCACCTAATGCCATGCCACTCTTGCCTTCTCAACCCTTAAGGTGAATCACTAACAATTCTTCATGGGCTCACAGAGAGAGTTCACGCCTTCTTCTCCTGCCGGGGCTGCTTGGTGGCCTTGGCGCTTGGTTTGGCTTGGCACACTAGATCCCTATAGGCTGGAGAGCGGAGGAAGCGAGGGTAGCAGTCTTTGGCCATGAGCATGTAGATCTTGTGCTGGGCTGGGTCGAAGCAGGAGGTTGATGGCACCAGCATGTTGGCTCTGGTAATGTCACGAGTTTCGTGGTCGATGTTAATCTGATAAAAGAGACAAAGAGACAGAACCAGATTAGTTTTTTGCTCCAATTTGGAGAGGTTAGCCATTTTTGAGCCCCATTATCTAACTTTTCAGATTTAAATCCCTTGCTGAGATTGGTGTTTCCTTACCTCCCGGGGAGCATCACTGCCGATGAATTCATCGTAAATCTTCTGGGCTTTGGCTGGTAGTTTGGCAGGACTCTTGGTAGTCCTGTAATCTTCACAGGCAAAGTAGAATGCAATGTTCTCCTCGCTGAACTCAGACACCAGGAAGGCTGTGAAGGCACACAGTCCATCTGAGGAAAGAGAGCAAATTTGATTACTTATGGCACATAATGATCCCACAGGAGCTGCATCTGTCTGTGAGTGCATCTACAGTACACATTTACTGGAAGAGGCCAAAAAAGGAAAAAATCTTACTTACATTTGCTGGACAGAAGTTTTTCAAAGGACTCTTTCCACTTGATGCATTCCTCCAGACTTGGCCTGAAAAAAGATGAAGCAAGATTAGATTTATCCCACAATTTCAAACACAAAGAGAAAACAAGTGTAAAATCAACTGGTATTAATATTTAGTACAGTATGTGTGATGCTTACTTATTATTTTGCCCCATTTTGCAGCAGGATAGATTCCAGTTGGATTTCTGCAAAATGCTTCCCAGCCTTGCTTTCAGCTCCTTGGCCCTGTGCGGAAAAGACAACAGGTTAGAAACATTTTTCACAAGACCTGGGTTGCATACTGACAACCTGCACAGCATACATCCACACTGAGTGCAAAGTCTGAATTAAACATAACCTAAACCTCCCTTTTACAGACTCTCAAATACTCTCACACAGATGTATAAAGATAAAACAGCAGCTGTAATCCAGATATCCAAACATCAGCCATGTGAGTATTTGCATGAAGCTGCATGTACCTTTCCAAGCAGCAGGTAGGCAGAGATGCTAGTCCTTTACACATCATTTAGAAGCAGGTTGGACCTGGTAGGGGTGGTGTCTTGGTCGGGTGGTGGTTAAATATCCGTTTAGTGAAGCTCAGTAGGGAGCAAGATTGTCTGTGTCTGAGCGGAGCCGGAGCAGAGCTTTTATAGTCCAGCCTCCCCTGCTTCTGACATGTCATCAGCCCACTCAGCCAATCACAGAGAGGTAGTGTGAGAGTAAGAGAAAGAGAGGGAGAGAGATGATGAGAGGGGGGATATGCAAGGACGGGGCTGGGAAATTACTGTGAAATGATGAAAGCCACTGATATTCTACAGTGCTGTGTTTTTCTTGCGTGTCCCTGAAAATACGCCACGGTGAATCTTTGAGTGTTTTCTTTCAAAACAGCATTTTTACACACATACTACATTTACTCCAGTGTGTAGATGAAAGACTACTGTAGGCAGCTTTTTTGTGACTCTGAAATGGAATAAGCCTCAGAATATTCTTAAACCTGGCACTTATTTGTCATATTTCAGCTTTTATTATCTTTTTCAGGAGAAAAAAAAAGACTTGTATTTTATAACGCAACCACAACTTGTTACAAAACAAAGGTTGCTTTTAATAAGTTTTCCCAGTATGAATAAAGGTTTCAATAAATCTGTGAGAAGCAGAGAACATTGTAATCTGCTAATAACATCCTGTGTTGTCATTTCTCGACAGTGCCTTTCGTCCTGGTTCATGGCCCTGGTTTACACAAAGACATGACTTTACCATCACACCCTGCCTCTTTATGGACCTGATAAAGGTGTTCATCCCAGGGAATGGTGGGAAGGAAATGTGGTATTTACTCTCTTTAATTATGTTACTGTAAGGGAGCTAGATGTACAGCCAACTGCTCGACACAATAAAGCTGCAGCGGGGCCGCTTCCCACATGGTGAGCCTGCAGGTTGCTTATCTAGGATTTGTTCATCATATAATTCTGATTAAAGGGGCATTAGATAATCTAAGGCAATACGTGCATGACTGAAGAATGGGAATGACTCGAACACATTACAATACTTTAGATAGCATATTCTAAAATAGAGTTAGTCAGCTGCTTAAAGCAAAAAAAATAATTCATAATAATGTTTGTTTTTGTGAATTTGTTGTTGTTCTCTTGGATACTACAAGAAGCCACCAGAGCTGATACAGGAATTACAGCATTTTAGGTCCTCTAACAACAATTTCTTAAATGACAGTGGAAACATTGTATGTCACCCATTACGCAAGTCTATAGCCATGGGCGTTTCAAGGAATTAGGATCCATGAGAACTGTGTGAAAGATTAAATCTACTCCCCTCTAATAAAACATTTGTTGTCAAATGTCAATGTTATATAATGTTTTTTCTTTTTTACATGAGTCACTTCCTATGAAGCAGCTAGATTCAGGACTTTCAGTAAGAGATATCAGTTTAAGTTTTTCTCTTTGTAGAGAGTATACAGTGCCAGGAAAAAGATTTGGCATATACTGTAACTAGGAATATTTAATCATTTGATTTACAATAACTGAATGCTTGGTACACCACAACTCCTCAGACCAACACATTATATACACCAAGAAACATGCAAGCTATGATATTATGTTAACCACTTTGATCATGAGGAAGATCAAAGTATTCCAGACAGAAAAAAAGAGATCAAGATAAAATCTTGAAACATGTTTCGTGGAGGACTCATTTTCAGGGTTATACTTGTATTTAAGGTTTCTACTTGAACATGTTTACATATTTTGAAGGTCCAGTGAGTATTTAGTGGCATCCAGCGGTGAGGTTGCAGATCTGAACCTTCTCTGTGTGCTAAGGGTGTGGGAGAACTATAGTGGCCAAAGTGAAAATGCAAATAGCTCTATCTAGTGTCAGTGTTTGAACTGTCCTGAATTGTGGAAGACGATCCGCTCCATTTGTAGATATTCATTTGAAGGTTACAAAAACACTAGTCCATACCCATTGAGTGCACAGTTGCCCATGTACAGTTTCACATGGTGTGTGTTTGGGATACAGGTCATAGGAAATTGCAGTCAATAGTCAATAGTCAATAATCAATAGTCAACTGAACCCATTAAGAAGAGCAATGTATTCAGACAGAGTTTTTGTGAATTTGATAGTGCGATTGCAGGCGTCCTGTTCTACATATCTACCAAGTTTAGTATAAATGAGCCACGCCCTCAGCAATATTTATTGCCTTATAGAAGCTCAGGTTTAGTAAGTTTTCCAACTTTTGCCAAGAGGGAACTTTAGATATTGGTCCCTAGATTATGTTCACCGAGTTTCATGCAGATCGGTCAAGTCCCCCTCAAAAAATACCAGTCTACTGTGATTGGTCTGCGTTTTTGGGTCTTCCATATCTTGGTGTCTCTGCACCATCATTACAGCCAGGGAATGAGTGTAACAGGAAATAGTGGCACTCTTGTGAAAAACCACAGAAAAAAGCTTTTAAACACAACCTGACATACTCTTGTGGAATATGATATGAAATTGGGGAGAAATTTCCAACATCTGCAACCAAGTTTACATGTTTCCCTAATGTTAGCATGTAGCTTTATTAAGCAGTGCAGGCTACACTATATAACCACACAGTAGCTTGCCTAGAGCAGAAGATGATATAAAGAATTCCAGTACATTCTGACACAGTACAGCCCAGGCTTTGGATACACGAACAGTACTTATTGGTTTTGGTCTTTTCATGGGATTTGTTGGTGATAGAAAAACTATAAAATCTGAACAGACTAATCCTTTAAAGAACAAGGGAAGAAAAGGTATGGCTAAGGTCATTTGTTCAAATACGTATGTGTGCTATGTGTTTTTCTGACAAGTGACCTTTTGCAGTTTGAATGATGACTGTCAGACTCTCAGATTCAATAGTGGAAGCAGACTAATGTTGTTAGATGACTAGAAATAGAGCACGGTTCACATCCCATCTCCTAACAACAGTCATCAGTTTGTTTCTTTTAATCATCGTGATCTTTTCCTAACCTTTATTCAAGATGATCAGTTGCCACAGCTTACCCAGATATTAGTCATGTTTGGAACAACAAAACAAAAATTTACAAATTGCCCTTAAAACACTTTAATCCAGACTGAGGACTTCCCTGGGCTAAAAAGGAAGCTGTGTGGAGGGCACTTCCTGTGGTACACAAACATTTAGCGTGATCTCACAGTGTACCATGACAAATCAGCACGGATGAGGTTGAGTCAGCTAATGTAGAGTGGATAGCCCAGCTGAGCTGACAGACAACTGCACATTACCTAACCTGTCCAGATTCATTCAGCTGGGGAGGATTTAATTGCACCACTTTTATTGCTGGGAAAGAACAAAGGTCTGCTTGAGAAGCCTTGGGGATCCCAGACACCCACTCACCCACTCATACACTCATACTATGATGTCAGTACACTTCTGCGCCTCTGTCAGTCCTATTGACAATAGACAACCGGAAATGAGAGAATATAAGAGCCAGGAAGATAAAACCTGTATCATATTGTTGAGTGAAGGGCTGTCCTGAAAGCTGGGGATTCACTGTCCTTGAAGCTGGCTGATGCAGCACACACATCAACATTACCACACACCTTACATCACTATCTACTTCAAACACAAGCTCTATTTTACTGACAAAACACTAAAAACACTCGCACTTAAATTAAAAAAGTATTGGAATATAATAAGTTCTTCTGAGTAAAATTGCCTGGGATTGCCTCTCACCTCTGATGCTATAAACAACCATGGAGGGAGCTGAGTGGAAATGGCGGTGGTTAGCAGGGTGTTAATGATACTACCAGTACTAACAACAGCCCCTTTTACACTGCCAGATTTTCTGCGTATGTTGGGCCGTTTTGACGGCAAGCTGTGAGTGTTTAGACACACAGAGCAGGATTGGCGAGTTGATCCAAGGTGCCCGATAGGGTAGTCATATTGGTGAAACCCTTTCAGATTAAACAGACCGAGGTGGCCTTCAGCAACGGGAGGGGCTGTTGATGACTTGTGGGAGGAGCTGTTGATGACGCCGCATGTGCAACCCACTGGTGGTGGATAAACAGGAAACAGCTGATAGCAGGAATTAGCGAGCAGCTAGTAGCAAGAGGGAAACGCAAACCTGACAGACACTGTAAAGATGAGCAACTGAGGAGACAAGGAATTGCGCGCCTTCCTTGCCCTTGCAAATGAAGAGGCCATTAACCTGCAGATGACAGGAACTGTGAAGGACGGGCCGACTTACGAGAGAATTGTCGAAGGACTGGCCAGCCGCAGCTTCCCTCCCACGTCACTGTTTACGTCACACGCTTAGCTACATGTTTTGTTACTTGCTCACGCCCCCCATTGCCCCGAAAAACACAATTCACACAATTCCACAATTCCTATTTAAAAAGGGCTAACGTTGCTACCCCTACCCACGGTAGCGAATTACTGCCTTTTGAGTCCAATGCAGAGTGTCAGTGATTAGCTAGCCAGTGTGACATGAGCATGCACTAACATGCACCTGGCCTGGCCACCAAGACAAAGAACAGAGAACCTTTGATTAAAACACACACAGAGGGGAGTTTGACTATTTTCTGGTCAGGATGCCATTACTCCTCTATATCCTTACATAGCAAATACCTTTTTACACCCCTGGCCAACAGTCTTGTCATGTCATGGATTACTGTATCCTTACTGGGGTGATCCCATCACAAGATGGTCTCTAGTAATGTTTTGATAGTCATGTATTGCAATTTTAACATCTTTTTTCTCAGAAAATCTTATCAGGTGAAATCCCTGAGATCTAAGCAACAGAGAGTTTTATTGTTTGATCAGTCATCTAGCAATGTTGTTTGTTGATGTTAATTCTACCATGGTTTCCTTAAAGTGTATGGAAAAATCTAAAGATTGGTTAAATGGTCTTCACTAACAGACTCTGTATTGAGGCCTTTCCTAAAACACCCTGCAGCGTCTTTAGTTAGTTTTCAGTCAGAGAGAGAGTCCTAGTTTAAAGTCCTAGAAAGAGTCCTAGTTAAGGAGTGATTAGAAGTTCTTTCAGTAACTCTGGTCAGTTAGCAGTTGCAGTCAGACTTGTTGGAATACTCTACTTTAGACTTTGTCAATGTCTTGTCAATCTAATGTCAATCTTATGTACTTGAATTTTGTCCATTGTTCAAAGAAATCTCTGACGTTGAACAATCT